TTTTACCCTTTCCGTAATTTATAGGGGTATAGCTGTCATAGATTTATGAAGGTAAAATATTAACCCTATGAGATATGTAATATGTTTTTAGCAGCGTTCGCAGCTTAAAATCGATTCCCATATTGCGTATATATTTCGGACCCTTTCCCGGCGGCGGTCATGAAATTTTATAGATTTTACGTGATTTTTGACAACAGCTTTGTATATATAAATAATTGTTTCCATCTAAAATAGTCAACTATGCTCTGACCAAAGGTCCTGAAATTGTCACTTTAGGGTTGGGACGTTGAGTTGAAGAAATTGTATTGTAATTAACTTATAATTGCGCATGTTATTTGACTTTAAAATTCGCTCTATTGGCGTGTATTTAGTTACAATATTGTTTATAGCACACAGTCATGCTGTGTATTGACGCATTAGCATATGATTCAAATCTGTAGTCTTTTAGTTTTTATAGCTTATCGTTATTCTCCTGAACTTGTTTTCATTCACCGAGAGCCAATTTGCAATTGAATTTACTGCACGTTGTTGTCGCAACCTTATTACACCGACCGTGAAAATAAAATATTTTAACAAATCGTTGTTTGAATATAAATTAATCAATGAAATATTTCTTTTGTTAAATGCCTTTAAAGTGCACGAATCTGCTTTTTCGTTTTAAATTTAAAACATTTCTAAATATTATTTTTATTGCAATTCACGTCTTATTTATCTTTACATGTTTTCAAAAATATGCTTAATTTTGTAAGCACCCTGTAAGCGATAACTTGAATCTTATGTCATAATGTGACTAGCCTCCCATTTTTAAAACTAACCAAAATTTAATAATATACAGAACATTCCATTTAGAAATGCAATTAGTGTGTGAGTAGATATGGTAACGCCGCAATGTGACACATATTTTAAAAATAGAGCCTCCAATTTTTAAATACTACCATTTACCATTCTCCATATACTTCTAATAGGTCACCAAGTTTTCGGAACCGTCATATGAAGATGTTGAAAACGTAATCTGCCTAGCTGACAGCTGACGTCACCTGTTAGCTAGCAGTTTGCGGCATGCCGATTCGAGAGCACATTTTGTTTCTCGGATTGTGAAATCGCGAAACTAAATGCAGAATAGACCAGACTTTTTTATAAACACATTTAAAGTAACAGTTAAATTACAGTACTAGCAAGTGGTTTGTCGTGGACGTAAACGCATACTTCAGGACTATAAATATATATATATATATATATATATATATATATATATATATATATATATATATATATATATATATATATATATATATATATATATATATATATATATATATATATATATATATATATATATATCTCAAAAATCTCCAAGAAAAATATATTGGGAAAAGCTGCACAATCGTAATGTTGTAACTTGCAATTTTGGAGATCATGGAAGAATTGCTACGAGAGTTGCGTAGAAAAGTAGCTTGTAGCTGTGCATATTTTCTTGTTAAGAGTACGAAAGACACTTATTTCTAATTATGCACATCATACCGATATATTTTATCATTGATCTCATTTTCCACGTCCACCATCAGCAAAAGCGGAACTGATTCTTTTCCTGACACCATATCAAGCGCATTTGCTTATGCCCGTTTGTTAAACGGGGTTTCTAATCCTGCCATAAAACAGTCATCCACTTATTGATCGGATTGTTCTGAAACGAGTCCTAAGGACAAGCGACCCGTATTATGTCCGACTTGGGATTTTTGAACAATTTTCGAATTGTTTTGTTAATATCTGTCTGCATCTATTGCATTTTGTAATATACCAGTCCGGCCTTTGCCAGACCTATTTTTTGTTGAAAGAAATTCAAGTTGGTATCGTCGCTTCACGTCTTGTCGTCCTCGATGTAAAAAATATGGATTTTTGAATACCTTGTTGAATCATATACCTCGCTGAATCTATTTACATGATAGGCCAACGTAAAATTATAATACATTCAGACACTTAAAGGCATTGTCTGAACTGTACAATGGCCCTCGAGCAGCACATAAACGAAAATGTCGATATTTTCTCTCCGTATCTTTTGTGGCATATCACACTGAATATTGCTTTATTAAAGGCGGGAGCGGAATGGGTGGATGGAGTCGTAAATGCCCTGAATGTGATGATGACTTTCTTATTGGCTTTGTCATTTTATGAAAGGATCCTCGGCGGAACGTTCGGAGAAAGATTAATGTTTCAAGTTACTGAATTCGTCATGCTGTGGCGTCAAAAGAAAATTACGTGTCAGATTTGTAATAACATCTTTAATGGGGAGGCGTTTTGATGGATCGGTATTAAAAAAAATTAAGCGAAAAAAAAACGGTTACAAGAAAATGGCTCGTTAAGAAATGTCGGGGATCTCTGTCAGTGTTTTTTGGTTTGATAGTAAATAAATGGATAAATACGTTCACGTTATTATTATAAAACTGTCTGAGCTTTGACCTGGGAATGGAAATATATAGAGTTTTTCACATTTTTTGAATTAAACATGATCTCTTTTCAGGAGAACGGTTTTAATTGCTGTGTTATATACAGAGCGTTTCAAACTGATAGGAGTTGTAGAGTATTGAGAAAGGCGTGACAAACTATTGTTTCAGCCAGCTATGGTATTCAAATTACGAATTAAAAAGTAAAATTTTGTAAGGTAGTGTTGTTCTCTTAGTTTTGGTTAGTTTATCACATCAAATCGATACTTTAATTAATTTACTTATACCTATTTATCACCATTAGCGGGATAGGATTTTTGTCCTCCAGCTATGAAATAAGAACTTGGTATTTCGTAACCACTATTTGTATTGGTATTGGTATTAAAGGGGGGCGCCAAGCACTTAGGCCACCAGATGGGCCCGTTGTGCCCCCAAGCCGCTCTAGAGGGCGTCCAGAATGCCGCCCCTTCTATAGAAGGTCAGCAACTCCTTTAGCCCAATACCGTGCACTGAGTCCGGATCGATCAGGGCCGTTCCAAATACTCCCAATCTTGCCCATGTCAAGGCAGGGCACTCGGTGAGCAGATGATACGGGGTCTCCTCCCCTTCCATGCACCACCTACACTCCAGGTCGTCTCCAATGCCCAACAAGTAAAGATGCTTCCTAAGCCTGCAATGTCCTGTGTAGACCCCTGTTAGTGATCTACACTCCCTTCTGGTCAGTCTAAGCAGCTCCCTGGTCCGAGGGAGGGCGGGCCCATCCATCATAAGCCTCGCCTGCCTCATTCCCGGAGCCACTCTCCAGCCCCCGCGGCCCGGTCTCTCGCCCAGGCTTCGAGAGCTCCCCGCCTCACACACGGGGCGATCCCCAAGCGGGGCTCTGGCCCTATATGCCTATGCGAGGAGCCCTCTCTGGCTAAGGCGTCCGCTGCCTCATTGCCCCGGATACCGGCGTGACCCGGGTTCGTAACCACTAACGCGTCTAAGCATCTAATATTTGCGTAATTCTAAAACTTGAATGTAACAGCTTGATTAAAATAAAAGGTTGTGCACGATGATTTGATTTACTTTTTTTTAAGTTAAGCTTTTTCTTCCAATGATATGACTGGAATCGCTGTTATAATTGCTTTTATAAAATAAAAGTAAAGTCATTTTATGTCGGTGTTATCCACATTAACTCAAAAAACGTTTAGTAAAATAAAATTGTGTCTATGAATTTTATGTAAAAATAATATTTTTCATCGCTATCGACAAGTTTTCAATCCCAATATGTATCTTGAATGGTTCTCAAGGTACCCAGGAGGGAGGTAGATCGCGGTCACTAAATGTAAACGGTTAACCAGTCCTTGTAATGTAACCCAAGTTTCTGCTTAGTATGCGGGCAGTAATTATCGAATAAACTTGTCGGTGCTTCACCGATCCTTTCAGACGAAGTTCTTCAAACGCGTAAAACGAGTCCCTTTGCGGAAACTTCAAAGCAGTGTAAATACATTAGCGATTGCGAGCGCATCCTGTATGGCATGCTTAAACAAACTGCATTAGTTCAAAGTCGGAAGCATTAAGCAAGACTACGAACATATTCGAATTTATATTTTGCGGTAATCGTTGCGTATTTTGATATCAAAGAATAAAAACTTTCTTGAGGTACGTTGACATAGTGAAGTTTTTATTTTAATATTTTTAATTTTTGGAAACTACTTACAAGTTTTGATATATTTTTTTTTCTGACGTCCTTTGCATATGCTCTTTTACATTACGTAATTCGGCATCACATCAGCAGCTGATAGCGAACAATATTTAATTCCAAATTCAGGAAAACAACAACATAGTCGAGTTAAAATATGTATCTGGCTTTCTGAAGAAAACGCTTGGAAGAATTGAACTGAGGTGGCTTTTACTTGATGAAAATCCATTTATCAAAATAAATATGAACTAAAAGTATAGATTTTCAAGAAATTATATATTTTGACATGACACTTGTTTCGACACACCGTTTGATTCACATTTGACATTTGATAAAGACACGGTATTGTCGAACCAATTGTCACGACACAATATATAATTTCGCGAAAATCTGAACTTTTAGTTCTTATTTATTTTGCTTAGAAGAATTATTACAGCAGACTTTATTATGATCTGGAATAAATTAAATGGGAAGAACATGTAGAAACTTATTAGCTGGAAATGACAATACTCAGTAGAAAAACATATTTATCTTTCATTCACTGTTGAACATAATATGTTTTATAGAATATTATTTTATGAAACGTTAGGTTATAGTATATTACGCAACAAGTGTTGTAAATAAATATTTCCCAAATTGACGTCGTATAATCACACACGCAAGCTAGATCGGTGTTTAATTGGATATTTTAGAAGGCAGCTAATGCATTAAAAAATCCATTGACTTTTGAAATTGTTACTCGCGCTTTGTTGTTTCAGTGCTCTAAATGGCGACATTTTAATTAAAAATATATTTCTTTTTGCTAATTATCCTTAGTGATCTACGTTTTTTTATATTCTCAGCTGATTTAATTAAAACTACTATTTTTTTTTCAGAGGAACAGCCAAATGACTGCAAGTCGTACCATGTAGGTTGACAAGTGTGTGAACCTTAAATGTAGGTTGAAGGTGAGTATTACTTTGGTTTAAAATAAATTAATTTCATAATTCCTCAAATGACTATTACACCTTGAGGAATATTTTTTCTATTGGATATAGTAAATATTCTTTATTATTCGTCCACCTGGAGGTATCACTTAAAGCCGAAAATCGGATAATTATTTTGCAACGATGTATTGCCGATAAAATAATAGAGCGTATTGATGTAGCTGTGTATTATGTGTGTTGAAAATATTGTTATAGAAATAACCTTCGGCAAGGCTTTAGATTTTTCCGATTTGTCATCGTAAATCGATCAACAAGCTTGAGACATGTTTGTGATGATGTGATGGGAATACAATTCTTGTTACCTAATCTATCAGCCTGTTTTGTTATGTTTTTGTATACTTTTCGTTTCTCTATATATTCAGTTATTTATAAAAGGTTGAAAAATTTCAGAATGAGTCAAAAGACTTTCAACATCTATTTTTGTATACGAATTAAATAAATAATCGGTGGCTATGTATACAACGGCAGAAAATTACTTCATCCGCGTAACATCTTATAAAGACCCTTCTTCAATTTCGGTTTTAATATAAATACCGAAGGTTGTTTAAAAAGTACCACATCGGTTAAGCGTCATCAAGCACGTCCCTCTCGTATTTTACCCTCTTTCTGCCCTTGCTTAAGGGCATTTTTGAGTAAATGTTGATTTTACGCTTCTCTCCCTTGTAATTCTTATGCGGAAGCTTTTAACCGCAAGGGCTTAAGTATTAAGCCGAAGACCTAAGTTTCAGAAATATGGACGTGGTTCATAAACGCTGTTGTTAGAAACTCCTAAAACTTTAATCGTTGAAAAAATTCAGTTAAATCAAGGAAACTGAGTTATTTTTTGAAAATTTAAACACAGCATGTTCTCTCTCTCTCGTAATATTTGGTAACCCCTGCTTCACCTCACCACAATTTTTTTAATGAAAATTGATGATATATTCTCTGAATGTTATGCTAACATTCATGACCCTCCCTCATAAGTATACGCCCTCTATAAAAATTATAACTTGTTCAATAGTTTATTCGCTTTTTTTTGCTGACTCCAAAGAAAAATCAATTCAAAAAGTATTTCCGTTTCTACAAATATTTGCCCTGGGGATTCAAACAATTATAGAAGACGTGTTCGAAGGTACGATACCTATATCGCGTCTAAAGTAAACAATCGATTTTGCATCGTGACAACAAGCAGGTGTTTCAGAAAATCGCCAATGTTTTGTCTGCTTATATTTATTAACAAATTTGAGGAATTTTTAAAAATATTCGATTTTTTTTGTATTAGTAATATTTGTACACCTCTATAGTTTTTTTTATAAATTATCTGTAAATACTGCATCCTGATTTTTTCACCAAATTAACTTTATCAAACATCCAATTCTCTATAAGTGTGACAAAGTGTGACAAAGTTTTTACTTTCTTCACCCATACAACTTTAGTTTATTTTAGATCAAGGTAAAGTTTTGCTGGCATTTCGCCAACAACACAAGTGACTATTGTCTCTTTATTTCTTTAAAGCGCTTAATATAACAAATTAGATATATTTCTACTCAGGTGTGTAACCTGAAAAAGATGGATTTTATCTACATCATTTTGTCTAACGTAATGTTGAGAAATTGAGAACTTTCGTTTGTTGGAGTATTTTGCTAGGTCACCTCAGATCTATTAATTTTTTAAATATTAAAAGAAAAAATTTGAGAAAATTTTGTCGACGATTTAAAGCGCTTCGTAGTCTCGTACTTAAGGAATAAATTATTTGTAAGCCATCTTGATTAAATCAAATAACAGGACAAAGTAATTTCGCCGTAAATTTTGATAAAAGTTATTGAGTTGACGATATGCCCATTAGAATGAACAAAATTATCTGGGATAATAACTTTTTTTCGTTATTATGTACATTGCTAACACTTATTCATTTCTTATTTTGGAGTATTCAATTCCGAATATTAATATAATATTAATATTTTGCCAAAAAAGCTGTTTATTTATTGTATGAAAATGCACATGAGACAAAAATAAAATTTTCTTCTCACAGTCTTGTACCCAACGATAAGAAGAGGAATTGCCGATTGTTGTTGCTCCTTCTCGAATAATAGAACTGAGCATAGAGTCAAAATTGAAAATCAACCCCTAAAGGCAATCAGAATTTTATACGCTGGTATTTGATTTACACAAAAATGTAATTCTTTTAACTTTTATGAAAATAATGTTGAACCTTACCTCGTTTAATCGGCTGATTTAAATCTGGTTCGGAAGATATAAAAGGACCGGACCTTTTTTTTCTGATAAATAAAATATGCCCGTCATCTAAAATTCAGGATTAGATTGTCGAGACCTATGTTTGCCCAAATGTATTTGAGAGTCCCCAATGCAAAAAAGGTAAAAATTAATTAAAGCCGGGGGACAAAGAAACAAAATTTAACGTCAAGCATAAATAATTTAGCTCTTCTTTCTAGAAGTCGGGTTTAATCGCCCGTAAATTTTAATTACTTGTAACAAGCGGCTTCAAAGATTTCGCACGAAAATAGTCTTTGGAGTGCGACGCACATTTCGTTTCGCAACGGAGTAATTTAATCGTGAGGAATAAACAGTTTTGTAAAAGATCTCTTTTGTCCGTTTACAAAGCGAAAAGTTACTTTACTTTGATTGCCAAAATTAATTTATTGGGAGGATCGTGTTTCCGTGACTATGAAATTTTGCGATTTAATATATTTTGTTTTTATTTTAATAGTGAGTTTCGATATTTTCAGCGATGAGACGCCACTGCCGCTACAAAAAACAGTAAATAAGACTGTCTAGATAATTCGTCGCATATTTGATTTTTAGAATTCCAATAATTTGAATTGATTTTGATAATTTTTTGTTGTTGTATAGATCTCCGAAAAATGCACTAAAACCTTGTTTTGCTTATTGCTTCAACTGAAAGCCATGAACAGCTGGAACTATTTAACAAAAAAGAGAGAAGAGAAATTACTATTAGGGATTTCAAAAACATTAAATGGGAAATGAATTTTTATTCAGGAATTCTTAGAACTCAACTGTACCAATTTTTATAATGTTTCAATACAGGGTGTTTGAAATATCGCTTACCTGAGGCTGTACATCGTTTTAAAATCTTTGATTACGTTTTGATTTTGATATTTTTTTTTGTTGAATAGATCTCTCTAAAACGCACTAAAACATTACGTTTCTTATTTCATCAACCTAAAGTCATGGCCAACTGGGACAAATTTTTGATGTCAAATATCGAGAAGGGATATTACGGATTACTTTAAGAATAAAGTATCAATGAATTGTTATTCAACACTACATAAAACCTAACTATACTAATTTCCATGAAGTTCGCTTAAGCGTTGCTCCTATAGAATGTTTGTTTATTGCTCAATTTTGATCATTCTTTTTTGCTGGATAGATTTTACTAAGCAGAAATGAAACGGGTTTTTCCTATACCAAAAGTATTTTTAGAGATTTTTTCAAATTGGAAATGACAATAGATTCATTCGTATTAAGGACTACCTAAAAGTAACAGACAATGACCAAAGTTCTTGATGTTTTAAAAAAATAAATATTTTAAACTTTGTAAATAACGATTATTTTGTAAGTGATTTTAAGGTCTTACAAAATTTAATGACACAAATTTCAGAAATAATTATAAAAAATAGTTTTTAAGGGATATTTATTTTTTAGTATCATGTTAAAATAACAGCATTAATAAATATTAGTGTTCGAAAGGTATAAATAAATGAGCTAGTAAATTTGACAGTTGAATATTTGCTTCTCTCTGGCAAACACGGAAAAGGAAACAGTATGCCCAACGTCAATCAATTATGATATTTCTGTTATTTTTAATTTTGCATGAGAATTAAAGGTCTGCTTAATTCATATCTAATTCTCTCTAATCATATTTAATTTTAAGTAAATCGTTAGTGTCTTTCAGTGAAACCTCTCCAATAAAAAAAAATTCAAATTGTTAGAGGCACGTCGAAATGTGTTTTGGAATCAGTATAATTAGCTGATTCATTCATTGCAATCAGGTTATTTTCATGTTTTTTTAACTTAATTAACATACACCAACTAATAAGGAAAGCAGAATACGTTATTCCTTCTAATATCGTTTGATATCGGTAGATATCATTTTTATATTTTATTTATAAAAGTCTTGATTGATACGCCCTCGGTGAGAACAAAAATTTTGTGGGATAATGTCGCTTTGGCCGTAAATATTTTCCGCCGAATATCTACGAGTATATCGAAAAAAAAAACAATATTCCCGCTTTCATTTATTTTCAAAGCTAGAAAGCCGAAGCCTTCAAAAATATTTCGGGAACAAAATCACTTATTTCAATTCGAAACGTAGCACAACCCGATTTTCGTCTTTCCGAGCTTCCGGCTGATCAGAATTACGACTTCCCTACCGAAGAACTAGATCGAAGGATAAAAATTTATCGAAACGAGATATTTTCTCGAAACATGTTTTTAGCCTGTATCTGCCCGTATTTCGGTATACAGGACGAGTAATTTATGGTGTGTTTCTCAATACACGGATTAAATTAATGGCGTACATACTCGCACCTCATAAATTTAAGGGAAACGGCGGAATATCTGCATAACAGATCTATTTCATCGGTTCGTAGTGCGCACTTGCGAATAAAATCGAACTTTAATCAAGAGGCAAGGTTCAAACGTGTGACATAAAAAAATGAAGAGAAATTTAGCTAAGATAAATATTTCCTAAATAAGCCGAAATACATAATATTTTGTTCCATACTTAGTGGATTCGATCCAAAGCGAAGATTTTAGTGTTTCTTTTGTTGATTTTTTAAAAATCGCAGTAACTTTGTTGCTATATAAAATTTTGGTGTATCTATAAAGATATTTTCAAAAAAACTTTTTACGTAGAATTTAATGGTTTAAGTATAATTTCTTTGAAACCAATATTTTAATATTTATTACCAGAAAAAGCAATTTTTATGTGGAACATCCCC